TATATATATATATATATATATATATATAGGGTGTTTTATTTTAAGGGATATGGTCGATTTTCTCTCGCAAAATATAATAATATGGACTTGACCTTGGGTGACCTTGTCAAAATCAGATCAAGATCATTAATGTGTTTTTAAATGGAAATCTCTATTTTTTTATTACATATTATTTTTTATTACATTCTTGTAGCTTATTTTAAGAATTTTTCAAAGCACTATAATAAAGTTACGTTGAGTACTTTCCGAATTATGGAACTTGAAAGTTACAGTCGTTGGCGTTATCTATGTACGCATGCGTATGTGAGCGGGATTCTTATGCGCACGGAATTGAGTCCAATTCTTCCCAACTGAATGATTCAACTTTCCTCTTTTTTTCGTATAGCTTTTTTCAATTTTTTTACATTAGTGGACTTTTCCAAAGCTTTTTTCAAAATGATCGCTTACAGTTCAAATAAAATCGTTAATATTATTCTTGTGCTTAGTGAAATTGTTGTAGAACAGAGAGAGTGTATCGTAGATATTCGTTTAGACGACATCCAAATGCAATGCAGATGAAAAAAATTTTCAGATAAGAAGGATCAGATTTTGCCTTAATTGGCAGAACAGTGATCGATCTTATAACTTAATAAATATTTAACAAAAAGTAACTTTATTATAGTGTTTTGAAAATCTCTTGAGATAAGCTACAAGAATATGTAATAAAAAATAGAGGTCCATTTAAAAAAACATTAATAACCTTGACCTGATTTTGACAAGATCGCTCAAATCCATATTTCCATCATGTGTTTTTCCTTTCAAGCCATGCAACTTTCAAAAAATTTTTCAATAAAATCATCGATTTGCGAGATAATCGACCATATCACTTAATGAAACACCGAATAACTTTATGTTCTTAGACAGCTGACCGTAACGAGTGCCTTATGATCGCTCGCATTAGACGTGAATGCACCGCCTCTGCTTACCTTCGATATATGCGATCTATGATTTGCTAACTTTATTCTTTAATAACTCAAAAAGTAAGCATCGGATAAAATTTTTGTAAAAGAAAAATCGTCTCAAAATTCAATCAGAAGTACATCTTTGCAAGGACACAAGGTTATTCTGAATTATCCTGTAAAGCAATGTCAGAGCGTTCATCGTGGGCTATTTTTAATTTACTGTCAGAGGCATTTCGATTATCAAATCGAGTAAAATGATTTGCGGAACCAATTCGTAGAATTTTGTATTTGCAATTAAAGAAATATGCCCTTACAAAAAAATACTATTCAAAATATTATGAAAAAAATTATATTGTAAAAAAATACTATTAAAAAGTTCACAGTAAGTTCGTGACTATAAATTCATAGTAACTATGGATATATAGTATATGAATCTGATAATATATTATAATATTTTTCCATAAGGAAGTACATATCATATAATGATAACAATTATAATGAAATAAGACTGCATTTATATTATAATAGAGATAATTACCTATAAATTATATAATAATACAATTATATAATAATACAATTAATAAAACAAATTACGGAGTAATGATTTTACTGTCAATTGTCTGTCTTTCTTGTTACTTTTATAATATTTATATTTATCTTGTTATTTTTATAATAAAAGTTCAAACATGAGATAATTACTATATCTTTAATATAATATTTAATAATAAACATGATAATATACCAACAATTATATATAATATATATCAACAATTTAATAATAACTACAAAATGCCCCGGAAAAAATGTTTTATACAAGTGTCTGGAAATAATGGCCAAATAATCGCGTTCGCCCGGCCTACTACTGCGAAGTGTATATGCCTATCGATCGCTTGGCGCGCGGGCCTTGGGAGTTGGGGATTGGCTGGCAAGCGCCAGCGCCGCGCACACAGCCGTAAGCCTCTATAGCTCGAATGGCTTGCCAAGTTATCCCCGCTCCCCATGACTCGCGCGCCAAGCGATCGGTAGGCGTATACATTTCGCAGTAATATTCGATTATTTTTAAGGATTAATATCTTATTAATTATTGAAGAAATTTACAAAATGGTAAAGGACTTTTCGACTCAGTTTAGTTCGCTCTATGCTCATGAAATATTTGGCGATTATTTCTAGACACTCTGTATATCTAATTAAAAAAAATAAATATATAAAATTATATATATATATACTATTATACATATAAATATATATAATTATATATAATTGCATATAAAATATGTAATTTATAATATATATCGATTATATAAAATTTTATATAAAACATTTATATAAAACATTTTTTCTCGAGTGTTTTATAGTTATTTTTATGTATAAGATAGTAATTATCAAAATTTCATAGGAACTATGAAGAGATTTGTAGTTACCATCAATTGTTGCTAATATTATCATTCTGACTTATACTTTATTATCGACATAATGATATTTATTATCAAGTAATAACTATTAACAGTTCACAGTTTATTATAATTTGTTGATAATTACCATCAAAATTTCATAGTAAACTAATTTTGATAATTACTTTGAAATAGGAGATAACATTTTTCCGTAAGAGTGGATATATTGTCATGATGAAACCAAAAATTGGTTGCTTGACACGACCAAAACAAAGAAATGAACTAATGAACACAATTTTCTATCTGAAAATTTTTAAAACAGTGAAGGATCAAAATTTTTTTAAATTATAGCAATTTGATATTTATAGGATCATTTTTGTATCAAGCCGAGAACTTTTCGAACTTACATCCTCGTATAAGTCAACAATCAATAATATCTGTGTATAACTTTTATCTCTTTTTATTAGATAGAACAAAAAGAATTATATCATGTATGTATGTACAATGTCACATTAATTTATTAATAATACATATTATCCAAAATTGCCTCCACAATGTAAGATTAACTTTAATCCTGGTTCATTTTTTTTCAATTCTAAAATTGAAAAATTTTCCAAAATTAAAGTAAATCTTATATTTGTAAAACCGAATCTAATATATATTTTTGTCTCTGAACTAAGATGGTAATGCAGGAAACGGAATAAAAAAATTGGATCGATAATTATCGATCCAATTTTCTACATAATGTTAACTCAAAGAGCGTAAGCATCTTATACATTGGAAATGAAAATCTCTAATATCGACTTCAATCAAGTTCGGCTATCACTCCAACATTCCCTTTATTAACTATATTACGTACACGTGAATTCAGCTTATAACCGCTGACTTAATAAACTCACGCATATTAGTTCAGCTGATAACCGTTGGCTCAACGATCTCACTTATATGTGAGTCCGACCATCAAAATGTAAAATATAATTATCTATGATATATACATAACTATAATATTTTCCATTTTGTACCGATTAGAATATAAATAATCATTAAAAATTGTAACTTGACGTTTCAGGCATCTATTTCATATATTCAACTTCAATAAGAAATTTTTTTGTAATGTGCTGTAAAATATATGATTTAATCACATAAATCATGTGAAAGTATCTTGATATAAAATATATATACGTAATGAATGTTACATATAAAAATAGTAGAAAGGGATTATAGAATCTATTTAGTAGAAAAAGCTGAGAGCCAATGTTAATTGTTAATTGGTAATGTTTACTAATTTTTAAAAATCAAATATATAATTAAACAAATATTTCATCCTTTATCACTAGAACATTCTCAATGTTAAATACACATAATAATCGAACCTATTTTACAATACGCTTATATAAGTTACATAATTAAAATAATAACCGTCATAAATATTCTATGAATACAATTAGTCTATGAATACAATTATTACTCCTCTCTTCTAATTAAATAATGATTTCAAATACAATAATTTTTAAAGTAAAACATTTATATTTTAAAGTAAAAAATTTGTAATTTGAAACAGAGAATTTGTGTTTTTAAAGCAGTAAAGGCTTATAAGCAACAATATGTATAAATATATCTTCGTTTTTAAATTTTATATTTTTGTGCAAAAGCATGTAGGCAATCGAACTATAGGCAATAATACATGTAGTAATCGATCTGTAAACAAATGAGGTATAGGTAAATAATGCTGTAGGCAATCGATTTATAAGCAAATGAACTTTCTCAAATAGATTCTGTAATCTTTTTTTACTACTTTAATCTTTTATTTACATGTGAAAATTGTACGCCAAATGTACTGCAATTATTACAGATAAATGGTCAGAATATTATTGGATGCCATAAATCTGCGACGGCAAATATGATTTCATATTTCTTGGACCTGAAAGGACCATCTTGTACCATCGATACAGCATGCAGTTCAAGCTTTCATGCTATGGCCGTTGGTTATGATTATATTATGTCAGGAAAATGTGAAGACGCGATAATTGGAACAGCAAATTTATGTTTTGCTCCCATTGTAAACCTGCAATTCACTCGACTTGGTATTTCCAATATAATAATTATCTTTTGCATTTTATTAAAATTTAATAATCTAATAATGCAATATGCACATTTAAAAACCATTTAATCTATTTTCCTAATTTACAAAAAAATAAATAAACTACAACTATATAATTTTGAAAAAAAAACATGCTTACATTACTTGTAGAGGAGACCAGGGCTAGTTATAGTACGAGTAGATTGTCAAAATGCTTATAACTCAAACAGGACATAGCAGAAAAATTTCTTTTTTTTACTGTAGATCGCTGATATGATATTAGTTTGTGTAAAATGATTTGCACCACAAACATTGTATATATTATTTATAGCGAGTTTTAAGAAAATAAAATTAATCAGTAAATTTTTCTTATAATTTATTTTATCTGAGAAATTTTTGGCATTATTAATCACCCTGTATTCATAGAAAATGACATAGAAAATATTTACTAATTAATTAATCATTACCCTGACAAAGTTTGTGAATACAATCTCTTTTATTAAAAATAGCTACGATATGATAAATTTATGAGTAATATTTTTTTTAATATCTAAAGGATGTTGGTATATCATAACGTGTATAATATTTCCAAATGAAGCATCCACTTTTTTCTAAAAATTATTAATCAAAAACTGTGACAACTGGCCCCAGTTTCCTCTACTTTACATTATCAGAGACGAAATCGATAATTTTTTAAGTATGAGGTACACGGATTAAATATCCATTGTACATAAATTAAATATGCATATATTAAATAAAGCATTTTATATCTTTTAGGCGTCTTGTCTCCAACTGGTTATTGCAGACCATTTGATAGCACTGCTAACGGTTATGCGCGTGGCGAAACGGTGGCAGTGATATATCTTCAAAAGGCGAAAAATGCAAAGAGGATTTATGCCATATGTCCCCATATAAAATTAAATAATGATGGTTATAAAGAAGAAGGAATAACATATCCTTCATCACAAATGCAATATACCTTACTAAAGGAATTTTACGAAGAGTGTAAAATACCAACATCTTATTTGGATTATGTCGAAGCACATGGTACTGCTACGATAGCTGGCGATCCTCCAGAAATTAATGCTATCTATAATGTTTTTTGTACAAATAGAGAAACTCCATTAATGATCGGCTCTGTAAAATCTAATCTTGGTCATACTGAATCTGCGAGTGGCTTCAATCAGATCGCTAAGGTAAAACAAATTTCCATTTTCATATTCTATTAATAAAACCTGCTTTTATTTCACATAATTATACACATATATATTAGGTGTACAACTTTGCTTCCGCCGCTTTCCTATAGATGGCTTTAGCGGTAAGTGGTGGTCGAAATAAATAGATCATAAACATCATACAATAAACTTGAGCATATGTCAACATAACCCCATAGAAACATTAGTCGATTTGTGTCTGCATCATAAAGTTATTCTCGATTGAAAATGTTAGTTTACGAGCCAAATTCTCATCATTTGCGGGAAGTTTTTAATTTTTTGCTTCAATATGAAGAAATCTGCGGCTGAGGCTCATCGAATGCTCTCAAATTCTTATGGTGAGGCCGCTATTAGTGAAAGAACGTGTTGTGAGTGGGTTCAACGCTTCAAGAACGGTGATTTTGACGGGGATTTTCCAAGGTCATGCTCTGCATTTGGTGGGATCAGCTCGGCGTAGTGTATTATGAACTGTTAAAACCGACTGAAACAATCACAGGCGATCGGTAGCGAACGCAATTGATGCGTTTGAGCCGAGCATTGAAAGACAAACGGCCGCAATACAATGAGAGACACGATAAAGTGATTTTGCAGCATGACAATGCTCGTCCCCATGTTGCGAAAGTGGTCAAGACATATTTGGAAACGTTGAAATGGGAACTCCTACCCCGTATTCTCCAGACGTTGCTCCCTCTGACTATCACTTGTTTCGATCAATGGCACACGGCTGGGCTGACCAGCACTTCCGGTCTTATGAAGAAGTAAAAAATTGGATCGATTCGTGGATAGCCTCAAAAGATGACCAATTTTTTCGACGCGGGATTCGTACGCTACTCGAAAAAAAACGGCGGAAGCAAAGTTGTACAGCTAATAGAAGATACATTTTGTAAAAATCGATCGATAAGTAACACTGTAAGATTTTTTAAAACAAAGACTTATTAAAAAATTACGAAAATTTTTTATTATTAGATGTACAACTTTGTTTCCGCCATTTTTTTTTCGAAATTCGAGACTTTATTGTAAAAAACTGGTTATACATTTATCATTGAAAGTATTGTCTATCGCTGGCCACTACTTTCTCCCATCTTTCGGGTACATTTTCAATCGAGAATAACTTTATGATGCAGACACAAATCGACTAATGTTTCTATGGGGTTATGTTGATGCCCAAGTTTATTGTATGACGTCTATGATCTATTTATTTCGACCACCACTTACCGCTAAAGTCATCTATAGGAAAACGGCGGAAGTAAAGTTGTACACCTAATAAATTCAATGTCCACTAAAATCAATATACAGCCGTATTCATAATTCTTTTTTATTTTAAGAATAGAAGAAGTCTCCATTCCTAAAGAATTCTTCGATTCTCCAAGGTCTCCTTATTTCTCAAGTTTTCTTTCCCGAAAGAAGAAATATTTTATTAGGGATTTTAGTCATAATATAAAGAAGGATATGCTCATCGTGGTAACCCATTATGCAAATATAGAAAACAGAAAAGACAAACACGTCAATAAGTTACGTTAGCCTCAATTAATTTCGATTAATTCCGAAGCGGTTCGGGTTCATGCAATCTGGGCTGTGTTCGCTTTGACGCTTATAGCACTTGTGAGCGTCATTTATCCTTGTTTAATATTTAATAAACAATAAGGATAACGCTTAAAGCGTTGAGAGGGTATTGTGACAAAGCAAATATAGCCATGATCGCAAATCACGGCTGCGAGCACGTTTTATAAAGTGATTGTATTTTGTACAGATCACAAATTAAAATTAAGTGTGTAATAAAAGACTATAAAAATTATTGTTGAAAAATAAAAACATCTTCCGATGAAATATTTTTCATTTCCAAAAGTTGAAGCAGTTTTCATTAAATGGCGTGAATGTCCGTGCAAATCCGATCTCTGTTATCAAGGATAAGATTCTAAGAAAGTATATATTTAAATTAGCGTTAGCAATGAGGAATTTAATATTTTCAAGATATATGTATGCAAAAAATTGCTTCTTCTCATGATTGTATTTTGTGATATTACTTAATGCAAACTGTATGAGAAAATAATAAATGTACTTTCTTGATTCATTTACTAATATAACTAAATAATATTATTAAT